CGTCACACCTGTTTTCATTTGGTGCTCATTGCTCGACCAATCAATATTTAATTATCAAGTAAATTATCGTAAAATTAATGACAAATTAGCATTGCATTTAGGTGGTGTCGTGGTAACAAACAAAGACAAGCACGTAAGCCAAGCCAAAGAGTTTTAGCCATAAATTGTCATATTTTTCAATTAAGTAGCCAATTGCTTTATTGATCAATAGAAAACTCATGTCAAGTTGTTCTAGTGTTTAAACATTTCTACATTCGTAAGATTTCAATTGATCTAAGAAATTCTTTTACACCATTGAAAAACCAGGGCAGTGATAAAAATAAATGGTTAATTACGATTTGAGTGGTAATCCCCGGTGAGTACTTAATGACAAATGGTTTCATGGGCAACAGCCAAGATAAATACTTGTAATGGGTGTGTGAATGTCTTGCAAATGCTTAAATAAAAATTAATTGTCATAATTTAAATGGTAATTTGTAAGGGTTTGAAGTGATTACTCGAGATTGACAGGACCATTGTAAATTTGTCAAATGATTTTTTGCAAGGGAATTTAATAGTTTTATTTCTCATGAGCATTTGTTGAAAGTTACACATAATAAAGAGATGACAGAGTCGCACTCCGCATACGCACCTTTACTGTTCAAAAGAGAATTTTTTGTTGTGTGATTTTCCATACGGCAGCACTTACTTGATATATCCACACTTCATCAAACTCCTCAACAATAACATCCGTTGAAACTGCTCAGTGATCCTGCATCGGTTTTAGTTCGGAAGGTTTCTGCAAAGTATTACGAACGATTTGCGCCTTCCAATTGGTGTGCTTCCTACTGCTCTCCTTGGCCGCCACCGAAGCATTCGAGACGGAGAGATGTACTGTTTGCGTCGCCACTATTTTCTTTGCCTTGGGTTGCTGTTCCTTAGGTAACCGCATCCTCTCCACGCCACTTGGTCGCCTTCGAGACGGCGAAATTGGAAACTCAGACGATTCTGCCCTTTCCACCTGTTATTTCACCACCTTCCCCGTTGTAACGGGTTGAATTGATAGGCTCGGTGGAGACGGTTTCAATGCTTCGACTTCCTCTTTTTTAGTGACCTGTGGCTCTGCAGACTTAGCCTCCACAGCCATGCCTAACCTTACTTTCGAGGGTATAACCTCGGTTTTGGCATCTCAGAGGCATTCTTTAAGGGCTTTTTTGTAACAGTCTTTTCGATGCCACTTTCACATTCGTCGCCTTTTTTCACCACTGTTGAGCATGTGGGGATCCTTTTTATCGGGACTTTATTTAGTGTTGTGTCAGGACATGCTCTCTCGAACATCCTAACGAACTTCAGCTTTATTCTGATATGCTGCAATCAAATTTCAAGAAAAATTGTAAATTCTTCAAAAGAAAAAAAATCTTTATAATCGGCATTTGAATCTTTAAATCATCAAAATAACGAATATCGGGGGGTACCGTTGTATGGGGGCTATACGATATCGTGGACTTATATAGATAATTCTCTTTCAAGGGATAAAGTGCTCACCAGGAACTCCTTGTGTGGAATTTCAGACAATTCCATTGGAAAATGTGGCTAAAATCATTAAAATACCGAATATGGGTACCGTTATATGGAGGATATACGATATCATGGACCGTTATAGATAATTCTCTTCCAGGGGACAAAGTACACACAAAGAAAACTTTGTGTGGATTTTCAGACAATTCTGTTGAAAATGTGGCTAAAATCATCAAAATACCTGCATTCGGGGCACCGTTATATGGGGCTATACGATATAGTGGACCGATATCGAACTTGACCTGCCTGCAGACAAAAGACGAATTTGTGCAAAATTTTAGATTCCAATCTTAATTCGTTTTGACTGTAGCGTGATTACAACAGACGGACAACGCTAAATCGTCTTAGAATTTTACGCAGCTATATCCAAAATCGGCCGCCGATTTCTCGTAACATTTGCCTTTACGGTTTTTCGCACCGACTTCTTCACAGTGTCGTCCGTCTTTATTCGTCATATCGTTTAAAACAATCGTTTCCTAACTGACATATCTTCTTCTTAAATTATTTAGGTTACATCTTATGAATTTTCTGTCAGTTGTGAGCATGTGAGGACAACTAGTGCGCTCGAAGGCTATAACTCGATATTGGCAAGAAAATTGGAAAAAAAGGTCAATTTTTAAATTTCCTTGATATTACTCGCGACGAGGATTTCTCATATTCGGTTTCTTTGGCCCAAGCTTCGGTGGGTAATTTGAGTGTTTTGCCGAAAAAAAGAAGTATTCAAGATAATAAAAACTGTAATATCAGTTGTCTAACGCAGAAATTCGACAAAGACATTATGAGTCTATCAGAGTTCTTCGAAGCTATTACAAACAAGGAAAACAATCGAAGACTCAAGAGTATGCTGAAACAGCTCCGTGTCAACCTAGAGATGTCCTTGTGTTATTTATGTGCAGGAACCGAGAAATATTTTGCTTCAATCATGTAAACATTTCAAGATTTGCTCGTATTGTGTAAAGTTAAACGCAAAGTCCTAGACAAATCGTTCTCCTTTACTTTGCCCTTATTACAGTCAAATTGTTGAAGCAAGTTTAGAACAAGTAAGCAAAGGCTATAGTCGTGTGGGGCCGACTATGTGATACCATACAACACTACAATGTGTGAGAAGCCCCCTTATGTCCAAATCCATATTGGAAGATTTCGCTTTTGAAATTAGGATTTTGACTAGGGACATTTGCCCAATATTTATGCACTCCGTCGGGCTGTTAGTTGTTGTAGTCCATTTTACAACTAAATATAATCCAATGGTCATCCATAACTCTCTTCACAGGCGTGTCGATTGGCTTCAATTGTGTGCTCGGAAAAACATTTCTGTTTTTGGTTAATTTGAACCCCTAAATATTTTGCAATCATCTCCAAAAGCAAGAAGCCCCTCCGTACCATCAAATTTAGACTCATCTATATGATTTGCTTGTCTACGATATTTGGCTATATTCGTCAACGAAATCAGCATAAAAAAGCCAAAAGTTCGCCTTTTGTGTATTTCGGATATCGCCTGTAAGTAATGCTGGTATTTTTTCATACAAAATTTGTGTCCCATTGTACCCGCTGTCCTAAACTTTAACTTTATGTGAGATTTCGTATCCTTTGGTTCCTATATGTGACCTTTATAACGGCTGCAAAATCAGGAAAATTTTTTGTTGTTAATCCATTTAAACCCCTAATATATTGCGGACATCTTTGAAAACAATAGGCCTAGCTCTTCTGAGCCCAACCCTACCCATGTGAAAATTTTCCTGAGGATCGGACGATATTTGCAATACTATATTTACTATCGGCATCTACGTAACGGTCAGAATTGATCTGTTCGTCTATTTGTGATTTCGCCGGCATTAAAAATATTCGCGGTTTAATGGAAAATTTGACTTTTATTTAACACAAATGCTATGGTCTATTTCAACCACTAAATATTACCCGATGACCATCAAAATTGGAAGGCTTCTGCCCAGCCCTGAGCTCTAGCCGCATGCTAATTTCCGCTTTGATTGGTCTATAATTGCGACCTATAGAGCAACTGTAAATTCAGGAATTTTTCAGTTTTTGGTCCATTTCAACCCCTAAATATTTTGCGATCATTTCCAAAAGAAATAGGGTTCTATTCTGACCCTAGCCCCACCTCGATTCTAAATTTCGTGAAGATCGGGCCATAATTGCTACCTGTAGAGTTATTACAAATTAACATGGACAGACGGACAGACGGACGGACGGACATACATAGCTAGATCGACTCAGCTCGGCGATATTTCGTGGTGTTACATAATTTTTGGGCCAATCAATATTATAATACCCCCAACACATAGTGTTGCAGGGTATAAATGTCATCAATAAAATTATTAATTAGAATAAATACTTTTATACCATATTTTTTTAGTTTTAATGTGTCATAAGGTCCATGGACATTATGACGTTGGCAAAAGTGTCACAATGTATTAACATTATGACCCTTATGCATAACATTATGACCCTGGACGTTATGACATGCCACCATTTTTCTACTGAATTCTAATTACGTTATTTATTTTATTTATTTTTTTCTTTTTTTTTTTGGTATAAAAATAACTGGAGTTTTTAATTTTATAAAATCTTTAGAAAAAGCCGCGTCGCAGTGGCCCAAAAATGGCTCGTAAGCTGAACATATCACAATATTCCATTCGGCAAATATTGAAAAATTAGCTCGGAGTTAGCCATTGAAATTCCAAAAAGTGCAAGAACTTACACCGCTTGGCCGAAAGTGGTGAACTGCCGAATTTGTTTTTCTCCGATGAGAAAACATTCGTTGTCCAGCAGTTTGTAAACAAACAAAATGATCGCCTTTACTTGCCATAGAGGTCAGCTGAAAATGTGCAGCTTCGGTTGCCCACCAGAACTCAAGCGCCGGCCATGGTAATGGTGTGGGCCGCCATTACAGCCGATGGTCGCTCTTCGCTCGTTTTAATCGACCATGGCATCAGAATAAATACCGAATATTATCGCAAACATATTCTAGAGGGTGCCGCATACCTTGGACATTCCACCAGGACTCAGCACCATCGCACTCAGCACGCGCCACCTAAGAATGGTTACAAAATGAGGTTCCTCACTTCATTTCTAGCGCACAATGGCCACCAAAATCTCCGGATACCAATCCTTTTGACTATTGGGTCTGGAGTATTTTGGATAGCAAGATTGGCACCAATAAATACCAAAGTATCGATCACCTCAAGCAAGCGCTTCGCCGGGAATGGGCCAAAATACCGCAGAGCAACATTTGGACACCGTGTGACGGCTTCATTGGCCGCCATAATTCGTGCCAAAGGTGACCAATTCGAACAAATCTAAACTTATTCTAAAATGTGATGCTATTTCCGATATTTTTTACTTTCTTTGAATTGAATTAAAAAAATGTAAAAATTATGGAGTTTGACTTTGTTGCAGTTTTTTTTATCTCACCCTGTATATCTTTTCTTACGCTAAAAACAGCCAAATTTTATTTTGATTTGCAAATTTTTTATTAATTTAAATTCTATAATTATAAAATCGTTTCGTTGATAATCTTAAAATACCACCTATTTGCATTACATTCCACAAATATTTTACAGAGTTCCGGGTGCAGGAGCCACATTAACATTGGCCACAGAGTTCAGGTGTCCCTCCAATGGAGCAGTGTGAACAGCGCCGCGTGTCTTGGCAACATAGGTTCCCTGGACACCTGGAACAACAACGGGAGCGTGGACTGCAACACTAGGGCCATATACACCGAGACCATGAGCAGCATAGGGGAAGTAGGGAGATGATACGGCAGTATATGAGAGACCACCACCGACTACTTGGGGAACGCCATAGGGCAATACGAAGGATTGAACTCCCATGACCAAAGCCAAGGATGCAATGATAGCCAAGAAGAACTGAAAAAATTAAGAGATTTATATTTACAAAATCAAACCGACAATTTCTTGTGTCCATTGTCCCTAATACTCACTTTCATGTTGCTGAATTTGGTTTTGGTATTCCGGTAAGAAAACTGAAATAGTTTGATTGAGTTTTATCGGCAAGTGCAGATAGTAATCTGATTTCTTGCATTACTGTCCTCGCATTTTTATAATGAAATTAGAACAGTGCGAAAGTGTCACACCTGGCATACCAATCGTCATACAGCCGTTCCTACTCATTTCTCGCGCAAAGAAAATGAGGCGGTCGAGCGTAAAAAATCATTCAAACATTTTAATTATGACATTTATGAAATCTTAATTCTGCTGGTGTTGGTGGAGTTTATACATGTCATTGCAACAATTGACGGAATTGTGTAACGAAATGGAATGGTGACGGATACGTAAAATTAGTCAGTGCAAGAATGGTATGCATTTCATTTATTTCTATGAACATTCTTATTTATTTAATGGAATTTTAATGGTCCAACAAATGGACACCGTATTGAGGGAATTTTTAATAACATTAGATCTATTGTGACTTAGCGACTTACAATTTCCGATACCTCCTCAACAAAGGGCTAAAATTTAGAATAGCTAAGGCTCTCATAAAATCAGAAAAGAAATGGAAGAAGTCGGGCCGGGTGACTATATTACCAGAATCACTTTACAATGTAAACGTTTATCTGTTACGGGCAACTCAACTAATTTAACATACTGGTGTACTGTTTATCTTGTAATTGATGCATGAAAATAACAAAAATTTTCAATTGAGGCAGAAAATATCAAAAACAAGTAAAAAAGCATCTAAGTTCTGCCGGCTCGAGCTTTTAATATTCTCCACCATTTTGAAGGAACCTGAAAAATGTCCAAAAAATTCCGTCGAAAAATACCGGGGCTATAGGAAGACGTCCATATACACTTTTTATACCCTACACCACATAGTGGTAAGGGTATTATGTCTTTGTGCATTTGTTTGTAACATGGAGAAGGAAGCGAGATAGACACATAGATCCTTTTGAGGATCTCCATAGAATCACTTTCTGAGTTGATTTATGCATGTCAGTCCATCTTTGTAAACAAAATTTATCATCCGATTGAGATGAAACTTTGCACACAATATTCGTTTGGCCCAAGGACAATTGGTGAGAATTGTTTTACATTTAGATATAGCTCCCACCTTCAACCGATTTCGTGTTAATTGTGCATCAAATGACCAATATCAGTCCAAATGACCTGAATTTTAGCACATCCAACCGAATTTAGTCTAGAAGCAAGAACGTTCAATTTGGTGACAATCGGTTCAGATGTAGCTATAGCACCCATACACAGGTGAGAGGAAGAAACTGCAACCAACTTCAGACTGCTGTCACTTCTAAGCCACTCGTCCGACAGCTGTTAAAATTATTCCAGTGACAGCTCATTATGTTGTTTACAAGCGTACAAAAGCATTTTGGTGAGAGTTTTCCAGAAAAAAGTAATTCGTGATGGAATTCAAGCGTGATAGTGTGATTTCTTTATATATGGCTGGAGAACTACAAGTGGCTATCGTTAGAACACTCCATCATTTAAATGTGAATAAATCGTTTGTGTCTAGTACCATCGCTCGTTACAGTGATACTGGTCAAGGAAGTGGACGGAAGAAAACAGCAACATCAGCAGAAATGGTTCGAAAAGTAAAGAAGCGACTTGATCGAAACCCGCGTCGCAGTGGCCGAAAAATGGCTTGTGAGCTGAACATATCGCAATATTCCATTCGGCAAATATTGAAAAATGAGCTCGGATTAAATACATTGAAATTCCAAAAAGTGAATGAACTTACACCGCAACGGAAAAAATATAATCAAAAGAGCTACAGAGTTGCTTCGCTTGGCCGAAAGTTGTGAACTGGCGATTTTGGGTTTCTCCGATGAGAAAACATTCGTTGTCCAGCAGTTTGTAAACAAACAAAATGATCGTGTTTAATTGCCAAAGAGGTTAACTAATAATATGCACCTTCGGTTTGACTTTGTTGTAGTTCTTATGGATCTCGAAAATACCTCTGTCAAATTTTATCGATCAGGGTTATTGTGTAATAAATAGATAATATCAGCCCAAATCTACTGAATTTTGGCAATTTCGACTGAATTCATCCTAGAAACCAGTATTCCAAATTTCAATGTAAATCGGTTCAGATATAGGTATAGCTTCCATTTATATTTTTTATCCGATTTGGGGGTTAAAGTCCATCACATGCGTAATATGCAATCCACAACAATGATCTTTGGAACCAAATACCAAATACAGCTCTGAAATAAGTGTATCAAATTTTGTCAAGATCGGTTAAGATTTGGATATAGCTCCCATATATTTTTGGCCGATGTCGTTTTAATTGTGCACCAAATGGCCAATATCAATCCAAATGACCTGCATTGTAGCATATCCGACCGAATTAAGTCTAGAAGCAAGTACATTAAATTTGGTGAAAATCGGTTCAGATATAGCTATTGCTCCCATATATGTTTTTTTTCGATTTGGGGTTTAAATTCCCTCACATGCGTAATATGCACTCCACAAGATTGATATTTGGCAGTAAATAACTTATGGATCTCGAAAATACCTTTGTAAAATTTTATCGAGACCGGATCAGATTAGGATATAGCTCCCATATATATTCTTAATGATTTCGGCTCGAAAGTACCTCTGCTAAAATTTATCGAGATCGGCTCAGATTTTTATATGCCTTCGACATGCATCTTCATTCGAAATTACTGCTATTGAACACCATACATGTAATGTCATCCCGTAGTGGATAGATCTTTCATATTCAACCGAATTTTTCCATTTCGTGAATCTCGGTCCGGTTTATCTATTGCTCCGATAAATATGTTATTTGCATCATAGTTGGTATGATCTTCTTCAATTAAATTCCCAATATAATTTTTTGTTAAGAGAGCTTTATAAAATACGCATAGTTGTGTACGGTATCATATAGTCGGCCCCGTCTGACTTTTGACCTTTCCTTACTGGTTTTTCAATATGAAATTTGAAACAATTCCGGTAAAAAATGTATCATCAAACTATATGACGATCTGGATACACATAGACAATTTTCCATCATTGGTTGTATTACCTACTACGAGCTTCAAACCCGAAATTTCAAACAATTCCCGTCAATAATGTTCTTAAAATCTTCAAAATACCGAATATCAGGATGTATCGTTATATGGGGGCTATACGAACCTGCAATTTTTTTCATAGGCTGTAGAACCCTTTACGAAATTTAAATACGAAATTTAAAACAATTCCGATAAAAAAATCACTAAAATATACGATATGGTGAACCTTATATGTGGGCTATATGAAGACGTGGTGCAATATAAAAAAATTTCTGTCATAGGTTGTAGTACCCATTACGAAATCTACATACGAAATTTGAAACAGTTCCGGTGAATAATGTCCATAAAATCATCAGAATACCGAATATCGGGAGATATCATTAAATGGAGTCTGTACGAAGACATGAATCTGCATGCGCAAATTTTTGTCATAGGCTGTAGTACCCATTACGAACTTTAATTACGAAATTTGAAACAATTCCGATAACAAGTGCTGTTAAAATCGTCAAAATAGCGAATATCGAGGGGTACCGTTGTATTGGGCTATTCGATATTGTGCACCTATATAGACAATTCTCTTCCTAAGACGGAACTCATTTGTGTTGATTTTCAGATAATTTCATTGAAAAATTTGGGTACAATCATCAAAATACCTAATATCGGGAGGTACCGTTATATGGGGGGATATGCGATATCGTAGACCCATACAGACAATTCTCTTTCAGGGGGCAAAGTACCCACAAAGAAATCCTTGTGCAGAATTTCAGACAATTCCAATGAAGAATGTGGCTAAAATGATCAAATACTTAAACGTGGACCTATTCTCTTCCTTGGGGTAAGGTACTCACAAAGAACTCCTTGTGTGGATTTTCAGACAATTTTATTGAACAATTTGTCTAAAATCATCAAAATACCGAATATCGGGAGTAGTGTTATAAAGGGGATATACGATATGGTGCACAAATATAGCCCATCTTCGTGCTTGACCCGCCAGCAGACAAAAGACTGATCTGTTCAAAATTTAAGCTTCCTATCTTAATTCGTTTTGACAACAGACGGACGGACGGGCAGGGCTAAATCGCCTTAGAATTTTACGCTGATCAAGAATATATATGTACTTTGTTAGGTCTAAAATTATTATTGCGATGAGTTATAAACGGGATGGTGAGCTTAATACATCCTCCATACTATGTATGGTGGAGGTTATAAAGATACATTTACGCTGACATATTTCCAATTCTTTCCATTATATAAAAACCCTTTAATTTTATTACACATTCAATAATTTTCGAACGGTTAATAGTCTTTATTATTTTTCTCTTTTGCTGGTTCGCCGCACTAAACTTCCCACAACTAAGGTGCAGAACTCATATTAGTAATTAGATCAACATTTGAAATTACAAACTGCGGATGTGTAATTATAGAAATCAATTTTGTACATATGTACAATCTCAATATGAGCATTTGTAAAGCTAATAATTTTTAATTCATATTTCACACCGTGGCTGGAGGGATGGGTGTCAGTCAAACATCCGGCAACTGCAATCTGCGGGCAGGTCTTTAATTGACGCATAAATAGTACAAGAAAATAAAAATAAATGATTTTCTATAGATTACAGACGCAAATAGAAAACACGATGAATACACTCATGTAACAGAGAGATAATGGTCCCAACCCTAAAGCAATTTGCGGACTTAGCAGAGCTCACCGATGGATATAAAACAATTTCGCTTTCATGGAGTTAAATCAGATCAGAACTTGAGTTCAAGCCATCAGCAGCAAGAAACACAGTCTTCTTTAACAACATGAAAGTAAGTTGGATTACAAATTTTGAGTAATAACCTCTAATATCCTATTTTGGTTTCTCCTCAGTTCGCTGTCACAACTTTGTTCACTTTGGCCTTGGCCTTGGGTGCCCAGTCATATGTTCTGCCATGGGGAGTACCAGAAGTTGTTGGTGGTGGCCTTTCATACACTGCTGTCTCGGGACCTGTTGTAGCTGGTCACTGGGGTGCATGGGGTCCTTGGGGTGTTCCTAGTGTTGCCGTTTCTGCTCCCGTTCTTGGTGCCCGTCCTG